CACTGCTGGTTGCTGGCTAGGCCTGTTCCTGTGTTGTAGATAAAGCCCAGGTAGTACTGGTGTCCTGTTTTCTCTACCCCACAGCCTGTGTGCCTAGGCCACTCCCCACATGCATGCTCCATCTTGCTCCTTCGCACCTCAACGCTGGGAACCTGCATTAACTGTTGTTCTGCACTTCTCTCTCGACAGGTTGGCTGGTACGTTACGCTTCACATCTGTAGTGTTCCTATCTCAGTGATGGAGAGTTTCAGGCAGGGGCTGCCTCTGGTCCTATTCTCACTGCTTCCCCATGAGCAAAAGGTGAGTGTGCCACAGGCTGTAACCTGCCATCACCCAGAAGAGCTGGAAAGCCACTGTGCCTCTTTCCCCTCTGGCTGATACAGGCTTGGCGTTCTCCTGGCCTTCCTGGGGCCTTTGCTGGGAGGACAAAGTCTGAGTGTACAAGGAATTCAGTTCAAATCTTCTTGTGCTGGTTGGGGTTGAAGCTGTTTCTGCAGGTCCTGGGGGTCACATCAGAATAGCAGGGAGATGGCCATGATGGTTTAAGCCAGAACGTCTGAACCTGGCTGAAATTTTGCTGATGAACCCTTTATGGCTCTGAGGCGTCTCTGGTGGGGGTAGGGATTCTCTGGCATAAAAGGAAGATCTGGGAGCACTTTGACTAAAGCACCTGGGCTGTGAGCTGTTGAGACACTGAAGACATCTGGCTTGCGGAGCTATTCTGTATTATCCATGGCTTTCAACTTCGCAACCCTGCCGTTCCAGGTGAGCTCGGCCCCTCAGCATTGCCTTTCTCCCTCTCTCTGCAGATGTCTGTGCTGAACTTTGTGGTGAGGCGGCACCTGGGCAACAATGAGACAGTGAAAGCCAAGGAGGAGTTGATCTTCCACTGTGGGTTCAGGCGCTTCCGCGCCTCCCCTCTGTACTCCCAGCATAGCTCAGGTGGGTGTCGGACCCACTAGTGGACAAACTGCATATAGAGGGTGGGGCCCTTTGCTCCCTTTCTGTGCAGCCCCCCTGCTGGCTGGGGTCTCTGGGGGGGAAAGCTGGGATGGCTGAAGGGACTCTGAGGACTTGCATATCTTGGCTGTTGGGCTTCAACAAATGGACTCAATTCCTTTCCCCTTTGAGGGGGCTGGATTGGCCTGGGCAGCATGTGGTTCCCTGGGACCGTGAGGAAGTGGTACTGGTAGGGCTCGTCCTTGCTCAGGATTGGACGAGGCTCTATCATTTGAATTGGTCTCCTTTTCCAAGGGGTTGGCTCTCAACAGCCTATTGTGGAGGGAGGCGGGGCTGCGTGTGACCCACAACCCCGTGCTGCTGAGGTTGTTCCCAAGGCTGAGCAGAAGGAGGGAGTGGACGGACCTGAAGAGTGTTCCCTGAGCAATGTGTTGACAGTCCAAATTAGTGTGTGTTGTGGCTGGCCTGCTGCTTGTTGGTGTTGGGTCCTGGAGCTCCCCTGCTGGCCACTGGCTGGTAACTGAGTTTTATTTGGTGCTTTCTCTCTTCTAGCTGATAAGCACAAGTTGGAGCGTTTCCTGCGGCCTGATGCAGCCCTGGTGGTGACTGTTTATGCTCCCATCACTTTTCCTTCCGCCTCGGTGCTACTGTTTAAACAAAGGAGTAATGGTAAGTCAGTGCGTGCTGAGGGAGTGACTGAATGAGAAATGAAAGCTAATCCTAGCAGCAGAGGTTTCCAGCTTCCACTGAGGGATCTGGGTCCCATTCTCCAATACCGCCACGCATCTGACGTGCCTTAATCATCTGTCGGGCTCTGAGAGGATGAACTTGCCCATCTCCTCTCCCTCAGGCTCTGGAGTAATGGCCCTGTCCTTATTCTTGCTGTGAGGACTGCCCTACTCTAGGACCCACTGAACAGTGGCATTCATGTCAGCTCTGCTCCACAGGAATGCACGACCTCATCGCCACAGGCTTTCTGCTCTCGGTGGATCCAGACAGAATCATCATCAAGCGGCTGGTGCTCAGTGGTCACCCTTTCAAGATCTTCAGCAAGACAGCTGTAGTGCGGTACATGTTCTTTAACAGAGGTACGTGGCGTGTGTGTGTGTATATGCGTGTGTGTGGGGATGGTACAGCAGGTCCTGTGTGCCCCTGGAGACCCTGTGGTTCCATAGGAAAGTCTGTCATGACTTCCAATAACTGGAGCCTTTCAGACCTGGAAGTGCAGAGCTGAGCTCTTGTGAACATTCGGACATACGTGTTGACGTGACCCAGATATCTCAGCAAGTGTCCCGTGCCCTGCAGAGAGGCTCTCGTGTTCTGAGCACACCCATCCATGCAGCAGTGATTCTGTTTCGCCTATAGGTGAATGCACACTAGAGCTCTTTGGTTAGTGTGCCGCTGCTCGTCATACTCACAGCTGCTCTTGGTAGTAGGTCAAGCAGCCTGACTCCTGCCTGGTTTGCTAGCTATGTGGCAGGGTGCTGGGGAGCTGGAGACCACTGTGGCCTGTTTCTCATGTGTCTCTTGTCTTTGATCTGCAGAGGATGTGCTGTGGTTTAAGCCGGTGGAGCTAAGGACCAAGTGGGGCCGCAGAGGACACATCACAGAGCCGCTAGGTAGGCCGGGTTTGACATGCATTGTTGCCTTGCTTTCCTCTCATGGTATTGGGCCACAATCACTGTCCCTGCATCCCTACTCACACTGTCTGCTCTTCCCTGGGCTGGGGAAGAGGAATAGGCAAAATGCAGCTAACAGCTTCTGTTGCTTTCTTTGCCTAGGGACTCATGGTCACATGAAGTGTCATTTTGATGGCCAGCTGAAATCCCAGGACACGGTGCTGCTGAATCTGTACAAGCGCATCTTCCCTAAATGGACTTATGACCCGCATGTGCCGGAGCCGGTACCGTGGGTGAGAAACGAACAGCAGCTCCCCGTGCAGGAGGTGGAGATGGAATAACTCTCCAGGCCTAGCGTGGCTGCTGTGGTTCGCACCTCCTGCACCCCATGTGGGTGCTTGGCTGTTCCAAGCCTCGTGAGAAGTAGGGAGAACCGCCCTGGACTTGTTAGTGCTGTGCCTTTCCTGGGGTTTGTGTCCAGCATTCACGCTGGCTGCTGCAGCATTAGATCTGGCTCACAACTGCCTATGCCCTGGCCTCCAATGTCAGTTTATTTCAATGGTAAATATATCTTCACTTCAATTAAAGTCCAAGTGGCCGCTTTCTTGCAGCGGGAGGGTGGCTGGATCGAGTTATTGTGCACATTGGGCATGCAGGCTTTGCTCAGTCCCTCCTGCCAGGCTAGAAGCTCCTGAAGCTGCACTAGGGATTCTGTGGTTCACCCCCCTCCCCTGCCATTTGTGTGTAACTTGAGAACATAAAAACATAGGCTGCCATACGGGGTCAGACTAATGGTCCATCTAGCCCAGCATCCTGTCTCCAACAGTAGCCAGTACCAGAGCTTCAGGGGGAGTGTACAGAACTAGGCAGTTAGGGTGATCCACCCGTCTTCCCTTCCCAACAGTCAGAAGTTTAGGGTTGCCTCGGGCATGGGGTTGCATCTCTGACCATCTTGGCTAATAGCCATTGATGGACCTATCCTTTATCTCGTTCTTCACTGAACCCAGTTATACTTTTGGCCATCAACATCCCATGGCAATGAGTTCCACAGTTTAACTTGCCATTGTGTGGAAAAAGTACTTCCCCTTGTTTGTATTAAACCTGATGCCTATTAATTTCATTGGTACTGGTTGTCATATTGTGCGAAAGGGTTAATAACACCTTTTCCACTCCATTCATGATTTTATAGACTGTCCTCTTTTTTCTAAGCTAACAGCCCTAATCTTTTTAGTCTCTCCTCGGATAGAAGCCGTTACATATCCTTGATCATCTTTGTTTTCCTTCTCCAAATCTTTTTCCACTATATCCTTTTTGAGGTAGGAAGACCAGAACTGGACACTGTATTCATGGTGTGAGCATTACAATATTCTCGGTCTTATTTTCTATCCATTTCCTCATTGTTATCTTTTTTGACTGCTGTTGTGCATTGAGCTGAGGTTTTCAGAGAACTATCCATTGTGACACCAAGATCCTTCTTGATTTGCGGCACCCAACCAAAAGAGTGAGAACTCTGTTTTTCTCCAACAATGGTAACCACTAATGTAGAACCTATCATCATATGTGTGTAGTTGGGATTATTTTTGCCAATGTGCATCACTTCACACTTATCAATGTTGAATTTCATCTGCCAGTTCCTGAGAGCGCCCCCTGTGACTCTTGATTAATGAATAATTTTGTATCATCTGCAGACCATTATTGAATACGTTGAACAGCACAAGTCCCTGCACAGAGCCTTGGGGGACCCCACTGTTCTCTCTGCATTATGAAAACTGTTTATTCCTACCCTTTGTTTCCTATCTTGAACCAGTTACTGAGCCATGAGAGGACCTACCGCCTTCTTCTATGTTGACTTAGTTTTCTTAAGAGCTTTTGGTGAGGGACCTTGTCAAAGGCTTTCTGAAAAACCAAGTACACCCTCCAAGAATTGTAATAGATTGGTGAGGCGTGACTTCTCTTTACAAATGTGCGGTTGGCTCTTCCCCAATAAACTGTGTTTGTCTAACTTAGCGCCTGTCCCATGAGAGCACAGGGTCAGACTTTACCACAGTCTCCTGCTGCTGAACACGCAAGTGATCTCTCCAGGCAGCATAGGCTTGGGCCCCAGACAGGGGGTAGCTGCATGAAACTCATTCCAACCGCCTGCCTCTGGAGGCTGAGAGACCAGCTCTTTGGCTCCACCCACCTGTACCAGGTTAAGAACAGCACCAGCTGCTCCTTGAGATGACAAGGTTTTCCCACTTCCTTAGAAATCAATCCTTTTTGCTCATGTTGTTTTTTTTATTATTAAAATAAAAAATATAGAGATACACCTATCTCATAGAACTGGAAGGGACCCCGAAAGGTCATCGAGTCCAGCTCCCTGCCTTCACTAGCAGGACCAAATATTGATTTTGCTCCAGATCCCTAAGTGGCCCTCTCAAGGATTGAACTCACAACCCTGGGTTTAGCAGGCCAATGCTCAAACCAAACTCCCAGAGGCCCCACTGTGCAAACACAGCACCAGGCTCTAAGAAACAGCCCAGTTTCTCACTCCTGGGAGAAGTGGCTCTAAAGGCTGATCAGTTTCCATTTGCCTCTTTGCCAAGTGGGCTGAGCCAGGCCAGGGTGCCTAGGTCTACGTTTCCTCCACACAGCACAATGCAAACGTTCTTCACTTCCTGGGAGACTGAGCAAAACTGCTCAGAGAGCACAGCAGCCACTCCCACTCCAGCTGTTGGCTCAATAAGCAGCTTCATCCTCTCCCACACCAGCTGTGTTGCTTGCTGTTGGGGCAGAGAGAAGAGCAGTTACTGTGCTGGTAAATATTGTTCTAAGCCTTAGGTACACCCCACTGCGTAAAGCGAGGGACTGAGCATGATACACATCCCTTGTCATGGAGCTTGTGGGCGATGCTTTGGGGAGGCATAGGCCACAGCTGTGGGCATCTGTTGATAACAATTATGGGAAAAGGCTGGGACCCTAAAGTGACAGGCAGCCGGGGTTGCTGCTGTGGAGCTGAAGAATGCTATGGGAGGAAATGGAGGAGGCCCAGCCAGCATGGTAGAGAGGGATCATCCTTTGAAGGGGATCACGACTCCTGCTTCATGCTACAGCATGGGAGGGCAAGGTGGTGGAGGGAGGACAATGTGTGTGAATGGAGGCACCTGGGCTGGGCCGTTACAGCAAGAAGGTGCTTGGAGTTAATGCTTACCTGGATCTCCTCCTCTGTGACTGTCAGCACATCATCCACCAAATCCTTAATGATAGGCCAGGTGTTCGGTCCAATGCTGGTTTTAACACTGTCTGCTATGGTGTCTGGGGGATGGCGGTTGGGGGTGAGTTCCCCTGTCACCTTTGACCTGTAGCAGTCATCTGCATTGCATGGTTCAGCAGCATACACTCTTATGTCCGGTCTCAAAGCCTGCCCAAAGGAAGAGCAGGGGATGAGTTTGGAACTTGCTGGTGAACATGGCAGGCCAGGCCACCTCATTGTGCCTTAACTCCCATGTTCTGTAGCTGTTTGGGCTGGGGCAGGCCTTTCGCCTGCCATGGCAATCTTCCCCTCCAGCAGAGTGTGTCTGGCATTTGCTGGTGTGACGAATCAGAGAGCAACCACTGTTGAGCCAGGAGCAGGTTCCTTCATCTACTGCAGGCAGAGGACAAGCTTCTCCTAACGGCAACTAATCTCCTTGCTCGGCATTGCAACTCGGCCCTGAAGGATGACTGAGTGCCCAGCTCTCCTCAGGCTGCCAGTATCTCCCATCTACCTTTGTTCCTGCTGGAAGTGGCACCATTTTATTCTGTATCGTGGCATGAGGCTTAAACTAGAGTGTGTCGGCTGCAGTGATCTGTCCTGGTTGCTTTCAATGCAACCTGGACCTGCAGGGGAGAGTGCTAATGAACTCTACAGTACCTCCTGATCCAAACACAGGGAGAGAGAGAGGGTCAACTACAAATCCAAGCTGAGTTCAGATGCTGTGTGAATCGGAGAATTTCCTCCTCACAAGGTGAAATGCTCATTTTCGGACACCAGTAACTCCTCAGCCCCCCCTTCCTGAGGAGAGATGCAGCCAAAATAGGAGATTTCTTACCTTGACAGCCACTGCTATTCCAGCAATCATCCCTCCTCCTCCAACGGGAACCACCAGTGCATTCACCTGGGGTACCTAGCACAACAGAGACCAAGAGACACACGCTGTCTTGTGACTGCTCCTAAACGGCTCACTCCCTGGAGGCTGGCTCCAAGTCCTGATGGACTAACTCTGGCTTCCCTGACCTCTCTGCAGCGGGAGCAGATGTGTCCCCCTGCTTGTTCTCTCCTGCCTAATCGGAAAAGTGCCAGGGGAGGAGGTCTCCTCACCTGCTGCAGCACCTCCAGTGCTATAGTGCCTTGGCCTGCAATCACAGCAGGATCCTGATTGGGGTGCACCATCACGCCTTCCTTCTCCTGAACTGTCTGAGCTGCCACCTCCATTCGGGACTGGGGAGACAGACCAGGCACAAAAATTGTTAATGCCCCTGTGTGTGAACAAAGCCAAAGTACCCTGCTGTGCTGCCCCCTCCCTCCCCCTTACCTCATCAGTGGGCTCACATAATATCAGCCTGGCTCCATAGGAGCAGATGGCAGCTTTCTTACAGAGCGGCGCTGTGCGAGGCACCACGACATAGGCAGGAATCCCTGTGGAATGAAAGGACTGGACAATGATGGGGGCCCGGCTGCAGAGGCACATCCCCTGCTCGGCTGAGAGTGGGTCGGACAGACATGGAGCAGAGGATACCCCCGGGAGAGAAAACCAACTCAGCTGTAACCAGGCCCTTTGCAGGTAACTTCACCGTGGTGCTGCGTGTGGGACAGGGACGTGAAACTGCATTAGAGCTCAGCTACACCCTGCGCTGCTGCAGTGGGAGTTCCTGGCTCTATCTGCACCAGCCTGTGGATGCATCCAAGCAGGGAAACCCTTGGCCCTGCTGGCTAACAGTCCTGTCTGGGATTAACCCACCCGGCTGGGTGGCAAAGACCTGGGGCTTGCTTACTCCAAGGAATCCCCATGTGTAGTTAAGTCAGGCAGGGACTGAGCTGCAGGCTGGATGCTGAGCCAGCTGTGTGCTGGGAGCCAGAGCTACCCCTTGGCATCCGCTCCTGAGCACTGGCAGGCTTCCCCTGGGGTAACCAGCCAGCTCAGCTGCAAGCAAAAGACCCGAGCAAAGGGCTGCCCTTCCCTTATTGCTCTCAGTAGCTCATTTGCTGCTAGAGAAATGAAGGGGCAAGTGGGGGCGGGGGGGGGCAGCCCCGCATGGCCAAGAAATTGGCTCCCTGTTACCTTCCACTTTAGCTGCAAAGGCAAGAGCTTGGCCATGGTTTCCACTACTGTGTGTCACAACAGCCTTGGGCTGCTCTCTGTCGCCCTGCGCTGCACGAACCAGACTTCTGACGGCATTCAGTGCACCTCGGATCTGGGGAGAGACCACAGGTGGAGTGAACCTGCAAAGCCTCAGCTCTCCATGCTCAGATGGGGCAGGGGTTTGCTGCTGCTGTTGTGCCCTAGCTGAGAGCAGCAAGGGGAGGTGGAGAAGCTGCTCCCCTGCACCCTTTTTAATGGATGCTTTCCCCAGCAAGGGGGCAGCTGTGGATCCCTAGAACCAGAACAGCACCAATGCCAGCTTCTCTTCCTCCCCTTGAGCCCCTAACTGCAGGAGTCCTCAGCATCTGTAATGACCCATTTAACCATCTCTTCCTGGGGCTGGGGCTGCCAAGAAGTGCTTGTACGTGGTGGCTGCCCAGTAGGAAGTGGACAAGGGCCACCAACCTTGTTTCCTGGGGTAGAGGAATGGTAATTTCTAGTCCCTATTGCTATGGAACTAGAGTTGAATTGTGTCCAAAGCTGGCAGGGCCTGAGGGCCAACCTGCCATTGGACTCATACCGCGTGTTCTGCAGCATTTAAGTGCTGAAATCAGCGATTCTCCCTTTGTACAGATGCTAATGGGGCACACTTTTGTATTTGAGCAATTGCTTCTCAAATCCAACCCCCAGTCAGACCCTGTACCCTTTCCTCTGAGACAGTAGAGCTAGGCAGGAGGGTGGGTCAGGCTGCTCCCCACCCCGCACTGTGCCATTAATGTGTCAGCTTTACCTTAAAGGAACCAGTCTTCTGGAAGAGCTCACACTTGAAGAAGAGTCTGTGGCCGGCTAACTCGTCTAGGCTGGAACTGGTTAGGATGGGGGTGAGGTGGATAAGGCCATGGAGACTTGACTGTGCAGCTTCAACATCTGCCAGTGAGATGCAGTATGGAGAGGACATGTTCCGTAAGCTGTGGAGGGGAAGAGAGAGGCTGGAAACGCATCCTACTGCTGGAGGGAGCCTGCCTCACCAGTCATGGAAGGAGTGCAGAAGAGCACGGGGGGTCCCAATGTGCCACTCTGAATCAATGTCTCCTTAGCTGTGTCTGGACACTGTTTGGGCCCACAGGGTGGGGTTAAGTTTTAAACACTTGACAAATTTGAAATTTAAAAGGGAAGTCCCCGAAAGCAATTTTGCTGTTGGGTTAGGATGGTTGTCACAACAGCCTGCAGCTGTGCACTAGTGCCGGCACCAGCTCCAGAGCTGTTTGTGTTCTCTGTATGGAGTGAAATGAGCCAGCTCCTGAGATGGCTTGTATGCAGGGAGGGTGTCGCAGGATTACCTTTCAACAGATAAATCCACTGGCTGAGTGGTATGTCCCACTCCCCCTTTCTGTGAACACTCCATGTAAGCACCAGCTCTATTGGAATAGTGTTTACCTATTACTATTGTAAGTAAATATTTCTGTTTGTGGACTTGAAAGAGAGAAACAATGCTCCTAGTTTACTATGCCCCATGCTGCACGTGCCCTTCAAAAGAGGAAACAGTGAGAAATAGAAAAAGACTAAAACCCCAGGAATGGGACAGAGAGGGGTGCTCAGCAGCCACGGGGGGAACTCAAACTACTGTGCATCGTAAGTACACAGACTTGCCCCTGTTTGCAGTAGCCCCTGCCCTTACCCAGGCACTGGCAATAGGCGGTTCCCTAGTGGTGGTGTTGCTGGAGTGACTGACTTGTACCGATTCTTCCCCGACGCGATCCGCACTCGCGTTTTAAGGAGGTAGAACAGCTGGGGGAGAGGGTGAGAGGAATCTGCTTTCCTGAATCACTTCTGCACCCGACCCCGTGGGTGTCTCCTAGGAGTGATCCCTGCACAGCAAGACACCAGTGCGCTCTGTAGTGTTGCTCTTCGGCCTGGGTCTTCATTTCCCAGGGGGTGTCAAAGCTCGGTCAGCTTCGCGCCGCCCAGGGGATTCAGGGGCCCTTCATAGGAAAAAGTTGCAATGCTATAGAATACTATATTCTCGTGGGGGCCCTTGCGGGGCCTGGGGCAAATTGCCCCCCCCCCCCCCCGGCGGCCCTGTACTGCCCTGCCCAGAAGGGAGCTGGGGCACAGGGGTACGAGCCCCCAGGCCCGTCTCCACGCGGGCTAAGCTTTGCTGGGCGTTACAATCCTGTACGGCCCGCGCCACGGGGAGGGGCCCGGCACGCGGTCAGCAGCCGCACGGGGGCGCTCACCTGGCCCTGGCCGCTCGCGCCAGCGCTCTGCGGACTGGGACCCCGAGCTCCCGTCAGTCAAGCCCCGCAGAGCCGCGGGTCGGGCCAAAGGGCGCGCGTCACGTGGGCTGAGGGGGCGTGTCCGGGTGGCGCATGCGCTAGGGCGGCCGGAGCCTCTCGGCTTGGCGCATGCGCGTTAGGAGCGGAGGATTTGGGCCCGGCCGGCTGCCGTCCGCCCCCTCCCGCGGGAGTGGGGCCGTAGGGGGCGGGACGGGAGCGAAGATGGCGGCGGAGCTGGAGCGGGTGCGCATCTCGGCCGCGGAGCTGAGGGGGAGCCTGGCGGCGTTGGGGAGGGCCCCGGGGGGCGGGGGCCGAGGTGAGACTTCAGGGCCCGGCGGGCTGGGCCCCTCCCCTTCCCCGGTAGAGCCCCGCGACCCCCGGGCTGGGCCCCGCCGCGAGGGAGCAGCTGCGGCCCGAGCTCGCCTGCCTCGCGCGAGGGGAGAGGGCCGCGCGGGGCTCTCACGCGAGCTCGCAGGTCGCGTTAAAGCCGTTGGCTGCCGGGACCTGCTGACTCGCGCGAGCCCCGGGGCTCGCCTGGGGAGTCCTGCCGGGGCCGCATCGACGGGCGCTGGGACTCGGCAGCGAGTCCGTGTCTAACAATACCTTAAACGCCCCGTGGGGTTCCGCACCTGCCTCCGGCCCCCCGGGACCCCGCACCTGCCTCCGGCCCCCCGGGGCCCGCCAATCCTGGGGCCTTCCCGGTCACGTCACGTTGGGTGCTTGTCTCCCCCCTTGGGATCTGGGACAGCCCCAGCCCAGCCGGGGGAACGAACTAACTCTACACGGGACACTGACACTATACCCGAGAGGTGCAAAGTAAACAAACTGAAAACACAGAAGAATATTCCCCCCCCCCCAACACTTTCTCTTTAGGAGTGTGAGGTGCTCCGTGTAACAGTAATAAACAGTTTTGTGACACGTGTGATTTTACATTGATCACATCCTCTCCAAATAAAGTCTCCTTATTGTGCTGGGTGCAGCTGGTTAGTTGCAGAGCCTTGTTCTGGATCTGAGTTTATTTCTATTGCGAGGCTACTGGACTGAATCTCCTCTTACTGTGTGCAGCTCTCTGGGCTCTAACTTCTCCAGTTCTCTTTGCAGTTTGGTTTTGTCATCCTATGTGACGGCCACCTCTCCATTGTTGGAGTTCAGTTTACATCAAAGGAACACCCAGCATTGGAATATGTACGGCACAGAGAGGGGTCTTGAGTTTACTTGATGCTCAAGTCCAGAAAACCTCTGTACATGCTGAAAAGAGTCTGTATTGGGCTGCAGCTAGTCCTAAATGTGTGAAAACTGATTGGTGCTCTCACTATTGGGCCAGAAGTAGCTGCACAACTTGCCTGTAAGAGTCTCTGCACTCCGTTTGAGAAACACTGAGTCCATGAGAAGTTAAAGTCAATAATCCATGTACGGTATTCTGAAAGCTGCATGTCCCAGCAGAGGTATATTTGCATCCTCTTAAGTTCCTTCTGCCTGCTTCCAAGTGCAGAGCTTGTGTAGGCTATGCTGCTGGCCAGTTAGGTTCTGCAGAGCTCTTGGCCTGCGTTCTCATCTTCTTTACTGGCTTCTTATGTTGGGCTTGTCACTGGTCTCCATTTCATTGCTGGTGTGGTTCATCATCCATTTCATTTTGCTGCATGGCTGCCCATTATTGCAGCAGCTTCCCACTATATCACAGTGTTCCCAAGTACTCATTCCCAGAGGTCTCTGAGTATAGCACTGCACATACAGTAAATGAATGCCAAGAATTCCAGTCACCCTCTCTGCCATTTGCTTCCCCATCTGCAAAATGGGGTTAGATCTTACCTGACTCATGGGGACAGGTGAAGAGGGAGTGGGTTGTAAGAGTTAATTAATTAAGGTTTGTACAGTGCTTTGAAGATGAAAACTGCTAGATAAATGCAAAGGATTACTAAAGGCAATCCGTCCCATCATCACTGCTTTCAGAATGCCCATCTCTGTTTGGTTCCCTGCAACTATTCTTGCCTTTTGCTATTGTCAGGTAGCGGCTGTAGCAGGACTTGAATGATTCTGTCTTGGCAGATGCTTTCTGTGTAGCCTGTAATGTCCAAAGCATCTGAAAAATTGTCTGTAGTTTCACTCCTCTGTAAAGCACTTTGGGATCTACTGATGAAAAGTGCGATATACAAATTAGTTGTTGTTAGTTGGATGGCATGGTGGCCCATAAGTCATTTCACTCTGAATTTCTTGACTGGTTTTGAGCTAGCTAATGTGATCAGCAAGGCAAGTTTGTATCTGTGTTACAGAAATGGTTAACCCTCTTTAGTCTGAAGTATTGTGAGCAGAGTGGAGCTTTGAGACTATGAATGTTGGCTTCACAGATGCCAAATTGTTTTTTATTCAAGGCTGCTTGTGATGGGCGATTTGGCAGTGGGCACCAGCTAGTGCAGCACAGAAAGCTGCACTAGCTACTTGATGATTCTGATTATATGCCGTAGTTTCCTGTAAGTTATCCCAGGCATTGCGGCTGTCAAAGTTAAAGCAATGAGAGTCAGGACTGCTGCATCTCCTCCTATCTATCCTCAAATTATTAGTCAGTGAGATTCATTTGAGACTGATCTAGAAGTGCAGCCACTACCTTGACCGTACTGTTGTTTGGTTAGAGTGAAAGCAATTTAATACCACATGGTTTTATGGTGGTGTCACAGCAATCAAGCTACTTCTGTTAATTTGTGTGGAGTATGAAATCCTCCAAGGAGAAACTGGGGAAGCTGAAATTCTAAAATCAAGTTTCATGCAGCTAAACAAACTGTGCCCAACTATCTAGAGGACAAGTGTCTCTAGAAAAAGTCCACCCTCACCACTCCCATTTCAGAAGCTTCTCCCATCAGTGCTCTGTCGTCATGGATGCAGTTTATCCAGTGTTCTAATGACAGAAACCTCAGAACTGTCTCTGAGGTGCCTTCATTTGTTACTGTCAATGAATTGGTTAGGCTGCTGTGGGAGGAGATTAGTGAGAGAGGATCTATGATCTTCAGTATGTTTGCTTCAGAGGAAGGTGTGTTCTTGCTTTGAGTGATTTCCCTCTGCTAGGTACTACTGAGGCCATCTTAGTGGTGGTTTTCAGTTGGTATGAAGCAGAAACCATTCTATAATATGATGTAAAACCCCAGCCAAAGATACAGATTTAATAAGAATAATGTATAATGCTGCTGCATGTGATGACATTATTTTACATAGTCTTTTTCATGTCAGTTGTGTTCTTTTAAGTACATCTAGTATTAATATCATTACACAGAGAGAAATTTAACGAGTTGTGGGCCCAGGAGAAAAGAAGTCTTCAGTGCTGAGTTGAAATGAGATGTATGTGAATGAGGCAGGGAAGTACAGGGAGCTGTTCCAAATGGCAAGAGCTGCAGAGGGGAAGGCACATGTACCACCAACAGGCAGATTGGGGAGCAGAGGGTGAAATCAGGAAAACAGCAGCAACAAAACCCTTAGCTTGCACTTTGCTATGAGTCTCCCAGTGTATCTTGTTTGTTTCTTAGCTCGTAAGCTGCTTGAGGCTAAGGCTGTTTTGTACGTGTGTTCTGTACAGTGAGGGGTACATTGGAGGTGCTTAACAAATAATAACAATATGTATCCTGAAATAAGGCCACAGGCTCAGAGTCATAGGTTTCCTCTCTGCCTCCTGCTCTTGCATTTCTCACCCTGCTCTGTGTGATTTCACATAATACCCAGATAAAGAACTTCAGCTCTGATAGTCTCAATTTTAAAACTTCTGCCCCTCTTGGAGCCACCCTGAGACCATTAAAGACTCTTCACATTTCTCTAATGTTTCTGTCTCTCTAACTCTTATCCTGCTTTGCTGTTCCATAACTGGAATAACCTCCGCCTCTTTATCTCTTCTTTACAGAGAGCATGAAGGAACTGAAGGAGCCCAGGCATCGTAAAGATAACCGGCGTCCAGACCTTGAAATCTACAAGCCTGGCCTCTCCCGGCTTAGGAACAAACACACACTATTAAAACAGGAGGCCTCAGCGTATGAAGGGACCAGATCTGAGGAATCCAAGGATGAAACTGCTAGTGACAAAGATCCTGCTGGTACTGGAGGGGGATCTCAGGTCACTGGAGATCTCAGCAAAGGTGACAGCCAGAAGCAGAATGGTCCCTCCCAGGGAAATGGAGAGATGGAAAGTAAAGCTGTTTTTCAGAGCCAAGAGAATTTGGATAAACACTCTGTCTCAGATGACTGGTGTCCCAGGATCATCAGGAGAACCAAGAAGCCGGACCAGCAGATCTATCAGCCTGGGAAGCGCCTGCAGACTGTTGCCAAGGAGGCAGGCAGCCAGCCAGCCAATGATGAAATTGCCAGTAAGATGGAACAGCTGAGAGTTGAAGGAGATGAAGAGACTGAAAGGGACATTGGGAAAGGCAGCAACAGCAGTAGAACTAAACTTAACAGAGAGGAGAGGGAGGGAAGCCTGACTAGTGAGGGAGCGAAAACCACACAGGGAGAAAAAGGAAGGCAGGTAGAGCGGGCTGAGAGGGTCAGGAAATCAAGTGATGACTTGCTCCAGGGGAAGCTGGGATCTACGAAGCGATACTCCCGCTCTGACAAACGGAGGAGCCGATACCGCACCTGTAGCACGAGCTCAGCAGGGAGCAACAACAGCGCAGATGGAGCCCCACTGGCTGATGGGGGAAGGACGCGACAGGAGCGGGCCAAAGAGAGAAGCCGTCCTAAAAAACAGCTCTCTGCTTCCTCCACCGACTCTCTGGAAGATGACAAAATTGGGGAGACAGAAGCATATGGCGCCAGCAGGAATTCAGAGAGAAAGCACCCAGAGCAGAGCCGAGCTAAAAGTGAGAGTGAGTGGAGCAGCAATGGGAAGGAGGTCAAGGGAGCCCTGCGCGTCACTTTCGATAATAAGTCTGTGAACAGAGACATCCCTGTGGCGCACACAGACAAGAAAAAGCCTCCAAAGGCTTTTAATGTAAGTGACTCCATAGAGGCTGTGGAGGTGAAGGGCAGGGAGCCTCAGGGGAGAGGCCGTGGGATTCTCATCCTGCCTGCCAACACAGACCTCTCTGCCAGTGCTGCAGGCTCTCCCGAATCTACTCAGTCTGGGCCCAGGCTCCTGCTTGGTAGTGGTGGCAGCAAGGGGCCCAGAGGCAGGGGCCGTGGAGGCACTATGCGCAGGTTGTGGGATCCAAACAACCCGGACCAAAAACCTGCTCTGAAGAGCCAGACCTCACAGCTTCATTTTCTAGATACTGATGATGAAGTGAGTCCCACTTCCTGGGGGGATGCACGCCAGTCGCAGGCCTCCTACTACAAATTTCAGAATTCTGACAACCCCTATTATTACCCCAGTCCAAAAGGCCAAGGTCCTCAGTATCCTTATGGAGGGTATTCTTTGCCATATCAGATGGGCCCCAATAACAGTGTTTACCCAGGAGCTTACTACCCCGGATATCCAGGCCAGTCAGGGCAGTATATCTGCAGCCCCCTCCCCTCTACCCCTTTGAGTCCTGAGATGGAACAGCAGATGAGGAACTTACAGCAGCAGGAGCTCAGCAAACTCCTCCGAGAGGCTGGGAACCAGGAGCAGCAGCTCAGCAACCTGCTTTCCAGAGACCGCATCAGCCCTGAGGGTCTTGAGAAGATGGCACAACTGAGGTTTGAAGCTCTCACTTTGGGCTATGCTGTGTTGGGCTGGGGGAGGGGATGAGCTACAGCATCATCCCCACTGGGTAAATGTTTGCAGAAATACCACCCTCAAATGTTTGATCTGTCCTTGGGCACTTGCTTGAGAGGGACTGGCCACGGCCCAGCTACATTCCAGAGCGGTGGGGGGTGGGTGGCTGCCTAGCCTGTGGCAAGCCGTGTCTGCAGTTGTGCTAACGGGTTTGTGGGTAACTGAGTGAAGAAAACCCAGGGAGAACCTTTGCTTCCACTGGCTGTGCAGAAGCAGCCTTGTAAATGCGTAGGTGGCCTGACGTTGGAAAGGCACAGGCAGCAGCTCTCTGGGCTGGTGGCTAAGTCTCAGCTTTTTATAGTTAGAGAATCTCATTGCTATGAGGAGAGGAGTGGGGCTGCTGGAGTGGCTCCTGGCTCTGGAGCGTTTCCTGGCCTGGTGGTGGCTGGGAGCTGAGCGACTGCAAGCCCTGGCTTACATGCTCTCAGCCATTCTGGTAAGATGACTGTGTCCCTGGTTTCTGTCCAGCAGGCTTTGCATTCCAAGCCTGATCCACAAGACAGTCTGTTATATTCATTTACTGTCTGTTTGATTGTGAGTGTCTCTGGGCAGGGACCACACATCTGGTATTCTTTCTGGGGGGTTCTGGTGCTATATAATGATGTAATAATGCTGGCAGTTTTAGAACTGAGTAGAGCCTCTCACTGCTGACATTGTTAAACTCTGGGCCCTCCAGTGGGAATGGCCTGATGCTGCCACATCGTGAGGAAGAAATGAAATTGGCACCCTTGTAGTTAGCTTCATGATAGCAACAGCTCCTGCTCTCCAGCTTCCATGTTCACTCAGTGACCTCCTTGTTTCCAGGGCTTCTCTGGTGACTTGTTTTCATAGCTGACAGCAGCAGGTTCAGCAAGTGAATTAATTTCTAGACCTATCATCTGTTTTCTGGACTCTCACAATCCAAGCTCCGTGGAGGGACGTGACAGGACTTTGCTATGTTTTACTGCAGACAGCACTAGCTGTTCCAGGGCATCTTAAAGGACCATCCTTGAGACAGCAGTTGCAGCAGCACCTTATCTGTTGTCAAACTGCCTGAAGATGCTAGTGGTAATATGTACATATTTCTGGGGCAAGCACCCCAGCTGTACAGCTCACTTATGTGCAGAAAAGACTGTATCAAACATTTGATGGTAGTCCAGTCTGCGCAGGCAAATAGAAGTGTGATGACAAGTTACAGTGTGCTTCACAGAGAGCATATGTAGGATATAGCAGAGGGGGCAAATGGTCATGTGTCAAGGAGAATGACTGTGCATGGGTAGCCTGGGAGTGTGGCGGCTCAGAGCTGGATCTGATTGGGAGTCCTTGGCCAAGGAGAAGAGATGGCATGGATCACTCTGTCATCATTCTTCCTGCTGAGTGTTTTCAAAGGCATCCTCCCTGGGAACCCCTTTACCTGTGTGTTGTCTGGCTTCCCTGACTTGGCTGAAGTGTTGTAGCTTCATGTTTACCAGTCTCAGGAGGGGAGGGAAATGGGACTGTTGGTCTGAAGGTTGCTGCTGTTTTGTGGTTCAGAGGGCTATATGGAAGTGCTTTGGGTTAGTCTGTAAAAACTAACAATAGCCAAGAACCACAGCTACTCTAGCCTGTACTCTGGGGCATGCGAAGGGGTCTGTGGCCAGGGTGAGACCCTGCTTTTTCTGCCTCCTTGGTCTCTTAGTCACTGGTTTTTGTTACTGACTTTTATAGATTTTGACAATGAGTCACTTAACCAAGCTACAATATATACTGAGCTGTTTTTGCCTCTCCTCACAAACAAGTTCCTCCAGTCCCAGTAAAGGAACACAATTAGCTAAGGTGGGCCAACAAGGTAAAATTGGAGCAGTGGGCTGACAATGAGCAAAAGAAATGTAGACTGAACGTCAGAGCAACCTTCCTGACAGCGGGATCATCTCCCAAGGGCTGTGGAGTCATTTACAGCTGGAATGGTCCAAGCTCTAGAGAACATAATGTAGGGAACAGTTCTGCTCTGGCCATTGGAGAGCTATGGGGGGAGGACCCTGATTTCTATGACAGTGAGTCTCTTTCTCATCTTCCCCCCTTTTATATGGTCTACCTGGGGAGGTGTAGCATTCCCAGATGGAGTTAAGCACAGAGAAGTGAAGAGGGGTGGGGAATAGAGACAAAGGGAATAAAGTCTCTGGTTTTGTCATGAATTTGTGACTTATTTTTGGTTGGGAGGAGGGGAGATTGGTGCACCCTTCTTTCCATGGTAGGACTTTCCCTGCCGTCTAGATCTCTTTCCCTGGCCTGCACAGATAAATTTAGTGCTCAGAATGAACAGGTATTTGGGGGCTAAGGCAGCAGTGGGGGAAGGGCTTCTGTGCATTGGATCGTCATTGAAAGTCTGTACATTCCCCTCTCAGTACCAAGATTCACTCCTGCCTGGGAGATCCCAGCAGTGAGGCTGTGGCAGGAGCACTCTCTCTCTC